GCGTTGACGGCCCGCCTCCCTCCCCGCCGAGCGCCCGGGGCTCGATCCGCGGGCGAACAATGGCTCTGCCCCGCCCACCAGCCGCGCGCTGCTGAGCGGAGACCTAGCTGAACTCTGGCCGGATCTCCAGACACGCACACAGACACACGGAGGAGTGAGCGCCTGCACGCGCGCACCACGTTCGGTCGCTGGGCACGCTCGGCACGCTCGCAGTGGGCGTCCATCTCCCGGCACCGGTGGGCCACCCCAACCGGTGCCCAAGCCTCCAGAACGTTCGCGGGACGTTTTGGAGCGTCTACAGTGTCAGGTTGTAATCTGGGAATCTTCATGGAAAAAGACAGGAAGCACAGACACGTGTCCGCCCGGCAGAAGGGGAAAGACGTGTGTGTGTGTGTGTGTGTGTGTGTGTGTGTGTGTGTGGAGTAAGAATAGCTAGTAGCTATTGCAGGCGGTCTGCAGAATATTTTTCTTTAACTCTCACCGGGACCCTGGGAGGTGGGTCCATTATTCTGTTTTTTTGTTTGTTTGCTTTTTGGTTTTGTTTTAAGAATTATTCTTATTTAACGTTATTTATTTAAATTTGACCAGAGAGGGATAGAGTGAGAGAGAGAAAGCAAACTGCCTGGCCTGGGATTCAAACCCTGTTCTTCCACGTGGGAGTCCAGCACTCTTAACCAGCACACCACCTGCCCAGGTCTCTCCATTATTCTGTTTTAAAAGCGGAGAATGTGAGATATACAGAGATCAACTAACTTGCCTAGGTTGTAGCAGCCAGAAAGTGGTACAGCCAGGAGATGAGCCCAAAGGGTTGTGAGTGCTCAGGTCTCAGCGGGGCTCTGGATCACACTGGAAGCATCCCTGAGATGCGGCGGCCTCGCTGGCCTGTCCCTCATGCCCCCTTCTTGTCTGGGGCTGTGGGACCCTGAGGACTCAAAACCAGGCAGGCTGTACATTCACACAGTCTCCCTCCCTGCCCAGGTCTCCCCAGATTCTGCCCAGGATCCTGCCCTGAGAAGATGAAGGAAGCTCAGAGCCAGGCCAGTGCTGGCTTCTCAGGGACAGGGGCACCTGCCATTGCTTGGCAGGAGGACTGAGCAGCTCCTTTGGTGCTGCTGGTGGCTGGGTCAGGCCAACTCCCTGGCTAGTGACCAGGCCCCTCCTTCCCAGGCCTGGCTGTCTGCTGCAGAAGTTCTGAATGGAACTAGGTGTTTTCAGATAGGGACAGCTTGTCTGGACAGGGCCCAGAAATGTCCAGCGTGTGGCATAGGAGCATGTACCTGGACTGCTCCTCCTCAGGTTCTCGGCAATGTCTGGACCGACTGCAGGGTTTACTCTTAGTCCACGCTGGCTGCTACAACACACCAACCTACAGGGGTACAGACATTTGTTTCTCACAGTTCTGGAGGCTGGGAAGTCCTCCATCAAAGCAGCAGCACAAGAACCAGCAGTTAGCATTATGGCTATGTCGCTGGACTCCCATGTAGTCGACCACGGTTCGCGTCCCGGACCCGGTGGCTTAACACGCCAGGTGCATGTGCGTGCGTGCCCAAGATCCCGAGAGGAGAATGGAGGAGAAGGGATTGCGGAGTGGCCATCTCCCCTGGGGGATGATTTCTCGCTTGCTGTCTTTATGTCTCTCTCTTGTCTGTCTGGCGAGCGCACGCGCCCTATAGCACAAACCTCTCCAAAAAAAAAAAAAAAGCAGCAGAGCACATTTGGGCCTCCTGGTTCATAGCCGCCATGTTTTCTCTGCCTTCACATGAGGGAAGAGATTGCTCTGTGATCTCTTATAAGGGCATCCATCTCACTTTGGAGGGCTCTGCCTTCCTGACCTCATCACCTCCCAAAGACCTCAATTCCAAACATCCTGGCATCAGGGATTAGGTTTCAATTTATCAACTTGTGGGGACATAAGCGTTCGATCTATTGTACTCGTCAAGGTAGAAGATCCAGGATTTGTTTTGGGGTGTCCCCTCAATTATGGCTGAAGACGTCTTACCATCGAGACCAACTTTCTTCCTCTTTGACTGCCTAAGTACATTTGACCCTTGTTTCTTCCAGATAGATCCCGTCTGTACCAGGGAACGATCCGAAAAATCAGAGTTCTCTGGGAGCTGCCCTCCTGCTTACTCAGACTTTGGTAGATATGCCTGCTGGAATTCTCACTTAGCGCTGGTGCTCTTACTTCGGCCAGGCACCCTAGCATTCATTTTCGGCCAGAGAAAGAAAGGGGAGGCCTAGTGAGACTGAAATGTAGCGTAGGAGTATTGCCTTTCTCTCTAACGACAGGATGTGTCCCTGCAGGGAAGGCTTTGACAGTCCAGAGAAAAGTCTGCTCCGGGGAGAGAAAGTGTCAAGGAGAAATGGTGAGAGCACACCTCTTTGTTGTTGCAAACCGCAATAGAAGGATGACTGGGTCGTCCCATGCGTGTCACATGACTGTGATTGTGTCACCCACTTCTTCAGAACTCTCGGTAGCTCACCACTGCCCACAAATACGGCTGCGTGGCAGAGACAGTGCTATGGGAAAAGCACGAGCCTTGGTACCAAGAAGCATTAGGCCAGTGACAAATTAGAAGTTATAAATAAGCATGCGCTCGATCCTGTATGCCACAGAATTTCTCTTGACTTCGCTAGTAGATACTTGAGAATATAAGAGGAAAGTATACAGAATGTTTGGAGATAGAGATTGGAGCTAGAAGCTTTCCTCTATGAAAAGGGACCCAGGTTACTATGGCAATTTTTAAATTTACTGCCGGAGGGTACGTGTACTCACCAGAGAGAGAGAGAAAGTGTGCATGCCCAATGGGACGGTGACGGTCATGCTGCGGTCCCTCCTCTGCCATCTCTCCATTCTGCCAGGAGTTGGGCACGTGCACACATGTACCCAGAGTATTTTTCAAGTCGCTGGGGCTGGGATTTGAACTGTGGTCAGCCTTGTGAGATCCAACTTTCTATGCACAGCACTTAACCACTGTACTACGGGGCTAACCTTGGGGCAGCCTTTAAATTTCATTTTGATTCTTCTACTCAAGAGGGCAAGACAATACAAACTCACTCTAACCATCTCGAGTCAGGAGGGGGGCAATGAGCGACAGAAAACCATCTCTGTTAATTAGGTCCTTGTCAAGTGTTCCTGAGTCTGGTACCCACAGCAGAGAATCTTCCTTAGTCAGGACAGGGCTGGGAGTGCAAATCTCTGCTTGGTAAAAGTGCTCCAGTTCACCTCCATTTCTCTGGGTGTCCTGGTACTTAGAGCCCCGAAATCCTGAAGTCCTCCTATCCCACGTAGCAGATACCAGGTGACACCATGGACCCAGAGGGTATTTATTTTCTTCTTTTCTTAATTATTTATTTCATTTCATTTCATTTATTTATTTATTTTTTTTTTCCTAGAGGGCATATGCACTCACCAGAGAGAGAGAAAGTAAGAAAGCAAACCACCAGGTCCAGGAGTCAACCTGAGGTCGACCGTGTGAGAGACCAGCGCCTTAACCACCATGCCACATACAGGCTGACCACACCCCCAGGGATATTTCAGTGCAGCAATGTGCCAGAATTCTAATTGTCCCCAAGGCATACCCTTATCAAATTGTCACTTCTTTGATACAAACCTGTTTGGGGACCAGCAGTTAGCGTAATGGCTATGTCGTTGAACTCCCGTGTAGCCGACTGCGGTTCAAGTCCCAGATCCAGTGGCTTAAACTCACGCTGGGAGCATGTGCATGCGTGCCCAAGATCCTGAGAGGAGAATGGAGAAGAAGGGATTGCAGCATGGCCATCTCCCCTGGGGGGTGATTTCTCGCTCTCTGTCTTTCTCTGTCTTTCTGGTGAGCACACGTGCCCTATAGCAAAAACCTCTCCAAAAGAAAAAAAAAAAAACCTGTTTGCATATAGGTTAGAATGGAATGTTTCATTTCTCTAACTGGAATTGTGTTTCCCTTTTGAGCAGAGATTGCCTCTACTCCGGAGGCTATGGGTCACACTGGGACTCTCAAGTAACAGTGATCAAACCGGCACCCTGGCGTGGACTCCAAGTTTATTTCTTGGTCAGGGGACCCTGGTGCAGCAAAAGGAACAAATTGTCCCAACAACTGTGACTGCAAAAAGTTAACAGCTTCTAGGCCAGCAGAGGGCATGGAGGTTAGGCACTGGATCCCACATGTCTGACTGGGCGGCTCGAGTGCTGGACGGCAGCTTGAAAATCACGCTGGGTGTGTGTGCACGCATGCCCAAAACCCCAAGAGGAGAACAGAGGAGGGATTGCGGAGTGGCCGTCCCTGGGGAGTGATTTGTCACTTTCTCTTTCTCTCTCTGTGTCTCTCTGGCGGATACATGTGCTCTATAGCAAAAAAATTTTTTTTAAATTAAAGGGCTCATACAGACTGATAAACAACTGAAACTCAGCATGATAAAGAGAAAGACACTTCGTAAGAAAAGAGATACAGGCTCAGCCGTGGTAGCGCAGGTGGTAGGGTGTGTCTGCGTGATACTGGAGCCACATGGGAGGCCCGAGTTCTGATCCCAGGTTGACCTGAACATGCTGGGCACGCCCACACATGTGCCTGTCAGCCTGGCTCGCTGGGAGGCCAAGGAGTAGGGGAAGGATCACAGCACAGCAAGAACTTGTCAAGAGTAACCGTCTCTGCCTTTGACTCTCTCCTGATATAAA